CGATCTCGATGATGGCGGTAATAAATATTCGGGCTTCCCGAGTGGCCGAAAGAGTACTACCGATACCGAAATCTAGGATCGTCTTCCCCCAGTGGAGGCAAACCCCTGTGTTGGTGCTGGTGCCCATTTCCAGGCCTCCAGCAGGGGTCGAGAGGTCTGGAGCCGCCTGTTTTTGTTTTGATGATGCGCACGACTCACCCTCACGACTTCAGGTTCCCCTGGCAACTTTTCACAAATCAACACTTCCGCGGCAGCGGAAATGAAATGACCAGCTCCTTAAATTGTCAAGATGCGTCTGAGTCGTTGAATGTTCGCCGTCACGAACAGGAAATGAGAGGTCTGGAGCCGTCTTGGGACTACCTTGGGGCACGTTGCGGGCCTCTGGACCTTCTTGGGGGCATCCTGGGTCCCATCAGCAGTCTTGGAAATCTATGGGGCCCTCTGAGGGCGCAACCGGGCCACCGGGCACCCTCGAAGGCCGCCTGGAGGACTCGCTGGACTGCCTTGAAGCCCTCTCGGGTCGTCTCGGGGCCCTCTCTGAGGGACCTTTTCCGGCCCATGCCCGGGGAACCCACAAAGGACGCTCGCGCCCGACCGCGCACACGACCACGGCCCCCCACGTCCGCGAGACCAGCCGCGTGATACGAACGTTCGCGCAGTGCCTACAGTGCGGGCGCGGCCGCGAGAAATCCTCGCGAGAGACCCAACCCTGAGAACCCGTGCGCGAGGTGCACATGAGGGGAAGCCCGGAGCACCCTAAACGTAGCAGCTCCTTCAACGGCTGCGGGAAGTCACCGCGCAGCGCGAGGAACGAAGAAACCCAGGATACCCTGACGAAACGCGCATGGCTTCTTGATGCGCGCCCCCACTGCACTCCCAAAACCAAGGTGCATCCGTGTGCGCGCACTCCCTTCCTTTTGCTCCGGAATGCCTGGAGAACGAGCCGAGCTCGAGCCGCCGGGCGCCACGGGAGCGGAGGCGCTCGGCCGGGTCGGGTCACCAGCCCCTAGGGCGGGCAGCCCCCCACCTCTTGGACGCCCCCCTCCGGGTGGCGACGACAGGGTTAGGTCGGGCCTGTCCCCCTACAGGGGGATTTTGGGCGAAAAACTAGAAATACTCTGAAACGATTCCAAAAATAATCAAAAATAGAAGAAAAATCCTCCCTGACTGTTTTTTTCTACTATTTTGGAATATTTCCCCTGTAGAGGGACAGGCCCGACTTAAGGATAGGGGCGAACAGCCCAGGGGCGGGCAGTACACGTAAATTCGCCCTGGGAGCTTCGCGGAAGGCATGGACCGTTGGCGCCCCTGGACACATGGTTATTGCCCTCCCCTGGGCCATTCGCCCCCATCGTCGCCCCCGACGCTCCGAGGGCATCAACCGCATCGCCACTGAGGAGGCCGTCGTACGCCCGGCGAGTGCGCTCGAGGTCAGGGATGAGGTTCGAGGTTTTCGGACGTTTTCGTCAGTTCCTGGACGTTGCCCAGCCTCGGGATGCTTTCCAGCAGCTGCGCCTCGCCGGGAACGCCGTGGGGGTGCCCAAAAATCGTCCCGAGCGGCCGCCAGGGGCCCGAGCCCTGGCCCGAAGGCCAAGGCTGGCGATGTGCGCGCAGCGGGAGGGCTCGGCGGGAAGATCCACCAAGAGGGCGGGAGCCGGGAGGTCGAAGGGCCAGGGGGGATCGGGAGGCAACTCCTGGGAGGTCGTCGTGAGAACGATGAAGGGTTATCAGGGCCGTCAAACCAAACTAGGCCAGATTGAACCCTGGACTACGCCCGATTAAGCCGGATTGGATGGGAGTGAGCCAGATTAGGCGAGGCGAAGCCAGGGAGGTCAGATTCCTTGCAATCACCCGGGGATGCGGCATACTTAGGGTATAGTGCTTTTCCTTTTGTCGTTGCACTTCTTTTTTCCTCACTGAGGTTCCTCACGCTGCTGCCCCTCCAGACCTGTCGCTATTATATTGTTGTCGCGTCCCTGCATTCTGCTGCTGCTTTTGCTTTTGAGCCGCCTTTTTTCGTAGTACGAACGCTACGGACCCAGCTGACCCCAGTTTGCCTCCCGTCAGCAAGGATGTCAGAGGGACCGCATGGGGGGATCGGGAGGCAATTCCCAGGAGGTCTTTGTGTGAACGACGAATGACTGTCAGGGCAGACTACGGAGCCGTTTGGCCACATTAGGCCACATTGAGCCCCGGATTGAGCCCAATTAATCCAGATTCAGCAGGAGTACATCGGATTAGGCGGGATGATACCGGATTAGGTCCTTTGCCGACCACGGATGTACCAGCGCGGATGCTGAATCTAACCTTCCATAGGTTGCACTCTGAGAGGAGGGAGCCAGATGGGTCGGGGTCCTGAGCAGGTGCGAAGTTGCGGGGGAACGAGGGGCAGTCCCAGCAGCATACGGCAGGAGGGGATGGAACGCGACGAGCCGGGCGAGGAAGCTGGGCAGGAGGGAAGCTGCGAGAGCGGAGACGGAGGCAGCCTACCTCACGAGACGACCAAAGGTGGTGACCTCTCCAGAGTGGTCGACCTGCTGGTCCGCGGGCCGACCACGTGGGCTCAGAGATGCGTGCGAGAGATCGACGCCGTCGCCGCCGCTGCCCCCGCGCACCGCTGCAGCATGACCGGCCAGCCCCCCAGAAGCCCCCCGCCAGACTAGCCGCTGCTCACGAGAGTCCACGCTGCGAGGCTCCCCCGCCAGCAGCCTCCTCAGAATCAAAGGCGTCCAAGAAGGGGGCGCCAGAGAGGAGAGCTCGCAAATCATGGCTGGAGGCATGTGCGCGGCCCGGGGAGGGGGTGGGCAGGGGACGTGCCGCCGAAAGAGGACGAGGAGGGCATGAAGTCTGGGGAGAGTTCGTGGCCCCGGCCATGATACCCACCCCCCTGATGATCGCCGCCCCATTTGCCGCCCCCGACAAGAACCGAAACTGGAATCGCTTTCAGTCGCCCTCTGGGCCAGCACCCCGAGAGGCAAACTCGCCTGGCCAACGAAGACGAGAGCTGCGGCGGAAGTGCTGGACATGAAGTCGTGAAACAACAAAGGGGTATGGATCTTCGCAAGGTCAGGAGGCAACTCCAAAGCCCGATTTCGGGGGCCACCAAGCGGGATGACTCCGGATCGAGCCAGGGCTTAAACCAGATTTAACGGGACTAACCAGGATTCAACAAAATCAAACAGGAGCATGCCAGATTTAGCGTGTGGTCGACCACGCATATCTACGATCACCGATGCCGGATTCACCCTCCGAGGAGCTGCATCCCCAGCAAGGGCAGGTTCTCTCGGGCAGCAGCGCGCCGAAAACCGAAAAACGGGGGGGCCCTCGCGGGGCCGCACGCAGGCCGCCCACGCGGCACGCCGCGCGCGGGGGAGAGGGCCACCGAGCGCGACCTCTGCCCCGGCAGCATGCACGCGAACGCCCGCCCCGCCGAACCCCTTCCCTCCGCCGCTCACTTGGGGGGGGGGCCCTGGGACACGCAAACAAGAAGGCACTAATGACAGGATTCCCCATATTTCCCCCCATCTTCTGGGTCTTCGTCGTCCCCCGCACGTCCCATGTTTTCGCATATATTCTGGGGAATCGACGATGCATTGAGTCTGCGTGTTTTTTCCCCTCCTGAAATTGGGGGGGGGATCTCGGAGCGGTCTGACGCGCCCCACGGCGCGCTCTGGCGGACCCCAGAGCCCCCGGGTGGCCGCCCAGAGCCTCCCGGGAAGCCCCCAGGGTGGGGGACCCGGACATGTGCACAAGGGAGGGCCCGGCCCAGGGCCTGGTGCAGAGGGGGGAGAGATGGGAGGGGAAGGGGAACGCGGGAAAGGAGGAACGGGGAGGGGGAGAAGTGGAAGGGGAAGAACGGCCAAACAAAAGATAGGAAGGGGAAGGACTTGGGCGACGGGACGGAGCGCGTCGGAGGAGAGGAAAAAAGGGGGGAAAGCTGCCGGCCCAACCATCACCCCCAGTACCCCCCTTCCCCCTTCTCCATGTGCAGCGCAGCCTACCCTCGCACAGCGTATGGACAAAGTGCCGAGCGCCTGTCGACCGAGGCACTGCTGCTGCTCAGCGTCTTTGCAGCGTCCTCTTCTGCATGGTACCACACATGTGCTAATTTTACTTGCAGTTGCTGCCGATGCGCCGTCAGGGCGCGGCTTATTCGTTCGTTCGTTCGCACCCCCCATCATCCCTCCCTCTGGCTCCCCCCCTTCCTCCGCCAGGTGCGCCCTGCTCAGGGCACCCGAGCAGCCCAGGACACGTCGTCAGGAGCCCCAACGCCTTCGGGGGGGGGGGGGGCCACGGCGGCACGGCGCACAGCCCCCGGGGTAGACGTGGCCGAGCCAGGTGAAGACCGTCTCGGTGCAGTGCCTCACACCCTTCGTCCAGCTCACCGCGAGCACGGCGAAGGAGAACAGCCAGGCTACATACAGCATGCGCACGACCCCCGTGGCGAGGTACGTCCTCCCCCGGTGACACTGCCCACACGCACGCACGGAGGAGGAGGAGGAGGAGGAGGAGGAGGAGGAGGAGGAGGAGGAGGAGGAGGAGGGGGGAGGAGGAGGAAGAGGAAAGGAGGAGGAGGAGGAGGAGGAGGAGGAAAAGAGAAGGGGGAAGAGGAGGAGGTACCTCTTCTGTTCGCACGCGGGCGTTCCCCCTGCATCGTGGGCCCTCCACTGCGACGCGGCGCCTGCTCGCTTGCCACTTGCCGACAGCCATCACCCCGCACGCCTTCGTGCTGACAGCGAGAAGCCAGATGTGGCAGCCAGACACGAACAGAGGAGGCGTGGCGCAATGGCATCAGGAGGGCGGACAAGGCACTGGTCAAGGGGCTTGGCCTCTGGCGCTCTACACCAGGGCGAGAGACCGAGCGAGGTGCTGCGAGCTCTTGCATGCTGCACTGCGCTACCTGCAAATGCGAGAGCCTCCCCTCGGCCTCCTGCAGGGTTCAGCACGGCCCATGTCCTGCAACCCGTCTATAGACACGGCGTGCAGCATGACGACTGGGCCTAGGATTGGGCCGGCGAGAAAAAAAACAATGCTTGCGAGAACGAGCCGGAGAGAAGGCGCCTCGGCGACCGCTGCTGTCCGCACCCTCGAGTTGGATGCAGCCGGGGGGTCTGAACTGGTTGGGACCCCAGGGTCAGGAGACGAAACCAAATCCGTTCAAAATCGGGTCCCTTGACCCCTCCCTGGGGGTCCATCTGGTGCGCACCCCGATGCGCTTCTCACGGTCCTGGGGCCCGAAAACGGCCCCCGGAGGCCGGGAAGCCAAAAACCGTCCCGAACCCAGAACCTCGAACCTGCCCGCCCTTCCTGCTGGCTAGAACCAGTGCTGGGCCACCTCAGACCCCCAATGGCTCCAAGGCGCAATGCGTACTCTCGACAAACCAGCGAAGACGGACAGGTAGACGCGCGCAGGTCTGCTCTCCTGGACATCGAAGCGAGCCCAGCCGCGGAGACGCGAGGCCTCCCAGAAGGCCCAACAACGGAGGAGAGAAGGACGTCAGGAAACGTCGGTCCCCGAACCCCGAACGCCCAAACCTCCTCCCCGCCCTGCACCTGCTCGACGCGCCCAGCACCTCGGAGGCCCACTCGCCCCACGCGCACCGTGCAGACGCGGGGCTCCAACGCGTGGACTGAAAGCGGAGGTCTCTGGCGCGGTGCCTTCGCGCAGACGTGGGCCAACGCGTGCCGAGCCGACACGCAGCGTGCTGACACGGACGCCTCGAGCAGGCGCCTGCGCACAGCCGTTCGCGCCCCCGCGAGGCACCTCGCCAGGGCGCAGCCCGCAGCCCGCAGTGCGCAGGCCTCGCGGGCCCCGCCTCTCCCGGCAGAGGCCCTGCGCGCCAGCGCCCGCCGCCCAGGGTTTGCCATCGCTCGGACTTCCATTGCCCGTGCATGTTTCGGTGTCGTACGATTTTGCTGTCCTAGCCATCCTGTGGTGTGGGGTCCTCGGTTTATTTGTTATGTTTAAACCCGACAAAGGAAAATACAAAAAAACAAGCACACACAAAAAAAACGCGTCTCCACTCTTCCTCTCCTCCTCTCCCTCCTCTCTCCTCCTGTCCTTGCTTCTGCCCTCCGCATGTCGACACCGTGTCACCGCACCCCTCACACGTTGTGTGCGCTGATGTTGGCGTCGCGGCCCTGCGCGCAGCGACAGGGCGGAGAAGGTCGAAAAGCAGGAAAAACACGCGCGCGCGACGAGGAGCTCCCGAGCCCTCTGAGGCCGCGCCATCCGGGCGTGGACGGTAAGGGGGCGACGGTGGGTAGACGAGGCTACGGTGGAACGAACAACACACGCCCATACCTATAGAGGGGTCGGAGGGGGGGAGATTGGCTGTGGGTATGGGTATGGGTGCGGTTTGTCGGACCCCGGGGGACGCTCCCATTCGAGCGGGGATCTCCATCAGACAACACGCACCCATGGCCCCGTCCGTCCCCGCGATGGGTATGGATGTGTGGTTTTCGCTCGTCAACTTGTGGAGTTTCGCGCGGACATCCGAAAGTTCATGTTTATGTCATTGTTTGTTTCCCGGGTAAGGGTGGGTTCTACGTGGGTGCCATGGTGGGTGAAATCTAGCCTGATCTAGCTCAGAAGTGGGCTCCAGGTGCCCCAAGCGGCTTACCGGGGACAAGGATCTGGGCCAAGTGAGCAGAGCCCACCTAGCAGGGATTCCTGACCATTTTCAGCCACTCAGAGAATTGGAGACCCTTACAAGCCAGGTCGTGCCAGTCAGAACCCAGATTAGCTAGCATCCACGAAGAACCCCCTATACGGCTGGCGCCGCAAAGATAGCGTGGAACACCGATCTCCCAAAAGTTTTTTGGGGGGGGGTCGGCGGCTCCGAGGCGGCGGACAGGAAGCGGAAGGCGTCGTCTGGGCCAGCAGGCGAGGCTAATTAGCTACAACAGGCAACACACCTGCAGTAATAAAACGCAAAGAAAGCGCGTGTGCACATGCAATAAGCAAAATGCGATCTCCGAAAAGCACGCTATCCCAAAAAATCGGGCTTCCTCCATGCACGCTATCCCTGTGAGGGTATCCCCCTGCGAGGGCCCCATCTGTGCACACTAGTTATCCCCCTGCCAGCTGCCCGGGCTTCTTTGGTGCACGCCTATCCCCAGGGTGGGAGATAGCCGGCATTAAGCAAGCACGGCGGCGCCACATCGCACGCTATGTTTGCAATGCCAACTGGACCCTTGGCGGCGCGCACAAGGAGGTAGGGGAGGGAGGAAGGCTTCTTAGCAGGAGGCTGCTTCTTAGAAGGCCACGGCCTTACATCACAAGGTAAGGCCCGCGCCTTCTAAGAAGCATGGTGCTTCTTAGAAGCCTTCCCCCATCCCCAAGGTAAGGCCCGCGCCTTCCAAGAAGCATGGTGCTTCGTAGAAGCCTTCCCCCATCCCCCTCCCCCATCTGTGCGTGGCCGATACGCCCTTATCGACCCGAGCAGTGATCCGAGCAGAGCAATCCTCACGTGCCACCCGGCGCCTCGCGCGGCTGCTGCGCCGCGGCGAAGTGCTCCGGGTACGTCAGGCACAGCACCGCGCTGCTCCCCGTCCACGCGAGCGTCGGGTACCACGCGGTGCCAGCTGGCAGCCGGCCGCTCCAGACGAAGGTGTGGCCCTTGAAGTCCACTGCCGACAGCACCCCCGCGGAGAGGTGGAACTCCACCCAGTCGCCTACGTGGCGGAGCCGTGAGAGGCAGGCGTCCACCAGGCGGCCGTCTGCCTGGACGTAGTCGATGCGCGGGCCGCTGCTGTCTCCGGTGGAGAAGCAGCAGCGCAGGCTCCTGCCCCCGTAGAACATGCTCGCCTGGGGCCAGGGAGGGTATGCACCAACACCAGTCGATGATCCTCAGAACGTGTGTTAGCGCCAGCGTGTGCTGGTCCACCGAGGCCCTTCAATATGATGCAGGCGGCGAGACGAGGGCCGACACAGGCTGTGCGCTATCGGCAGGGCCGAACGAAGTAAACACACGCTTGGGCAAATACACGTCCTGAGGATCATCGAACCAGGCCTCCAGGGGCCCCTCTGGGACCCAGGCCCTGGCGCGCATCAGCTCCCCGCCAGGCCGAGAGGCCGTCTGCACACCCGAGACATGCCCAGAGTGCACCTGCGGACGCCTGGCGGTCAGTGTACACCGTTCCTTCGCCCGATCGGCCGGGGCGTCATTCCGCCCCATGATGTACGCGTAGCCCTCCTCCATCGCCTCCTGGCTCGCCGCCTCACCAGCGCCGGTGGAGTCCTGCGTGATGCCCAGGAGCAGATCGCCCCGGGGGCTCGCGGAGCTCGTGGAGCAACAAAAGACCACACATGAGCATCCACTTTTGGAGGTCCGCGCGGACTTCCCTGGGTCGGCGCTGCAGCACCCCCTGCCCCAGGCCACCCCGCAGCGCGCCAACGGAGGCGCCGCAAGAGGTGTGTGGGGAAGGGGGTCTGGCGCCGACCCCCAGAGATCCGCGCAGACCTCCGAAAGCTTACGCTCATGCGGCGCGGTTTGCTCCTCCTGCTCAGCACCACCCGCCAGGCCGCCTCGGAGTCCGCGGTCAGCCTCAGGTCCGCGATCGCCACGGCGCCGGGGTGCCAGCCGCCCCCGCCCCTCACCGCGCACGCGTCGTCGCCGTGGATCAGCGCATGGCTGCTCGCACGGGACCACCGCCACCGCCACCGCGCCCGCTCCTGCACGACGCGCGGGGCAGCCCTCAGCCCCCCGAGCCAGCGGCGGCAGCTCTGGCTGGCGCGGCGCAGCTCGGCCCCGGCCAGCAGCGCGTAGACCCGGAGGCTCAGCAGCTCCTCTGAGAGGTAGCGGTCGGCGGCGAGCAGCGCGGCCATTCGGGGCACCGCCGGCAAGTGGGCTCCCGCAGGACCCGGCCCATGCCAGCCTCGCGCCCTCGTGCCTGACGGCTAAGAACCAGGCCTCGCTCCCTGGCTCCATCTGCGTCGCCGCGCAGCGCCGACTGCCGGGAGCCAGCGGCGGAACGTGACGGTCCTTGGGCCGTTCTCCGAGGAGGTCTCGGGCGACAAGTGCCGTCTTGGGGGCCCAGAGGCTCGCTGGCCAGAGCTGGGCCGAGGTCGTCTCCAATATGCCTCCGAGGGGCCTCTGGAAGGCGCCAAGAGACGGCTCTGAAGTTGCCCCCGAGCCTCCTGAGGATCCCCAAGAGGCCGAAACAATTGAAAATAGGCGCAGGGCTTTTCAATGATTTGGGCCTTCTCACCTTTCTGGCCACGTGGACTTCTGAGGCCACACGAGCGCACTGGCACCCAAGAGAACCCAAAGCAGGGCACGAGAAACAAAGCGTCGCTCCACAGGGGCGACGCTAAATCACGCCTGCCCCTTTCTCGGTCGCCAGTCTTTCTAGACTCGCAAGAAGGCCCCAAAGACTCCAAAAAGTGCCCCAAGAGAGACCAAGGATGGCTCCAGAGGCTCCCACAAGGGCCCGAAGATGACCACTGATCGCTGATTGGGCTGATCCCTGCCATGGCTTGGGTGGCATTCACCGAAGCCATGGCAGGGATCATCTGCTTCCCTAGTGATCATGGCTTCACTAGTAAGCATGGCTTAGGTGGCATGGCTTCACTAGTGATCATCCGCTTCCCTTCTCGCGGCAGGTCGCCTACAAATCGTTCCTGGACGAGCTGATGGGAATACGCAGCACCCAGGAAATCAGGTTACGCACAACTTGCTTCTGGATTTCGTTTAGCGTACGTATATTTCGATTGAATGTCCGTTTTGTTCACTTATGTTGTTTTTTTGTGTGTTGATAGTACCTTCGTGTTGTTTCTGACTTGCCTCGGCGCCTCGCGACAGCTCCAAACAAGAGAAGCAGATGCTCGCCTTCGGAGTTTCGCCCGAAGGGGTCCTCTCAAGGCCACCTTGCCATCTCCCCACCCTTCTGCCTCCCTCCTCCTCGTCCTCCTCCGTCCACCTCCTCCTCCTCCTCCTCCTCATCATCATCATCATCATCATCCTGCTCCTCCTCCTCCCTCCTCCTCCCTCCTCCT